AAATATATAGAGAGCATGGCCCGCCGAGGGTCTTTCAGAATGATAATGGGAAGGAATTTCATGGAGGTGTGCTAAAGTTGATGAAAAAGCTGAATGTTAAAATCATTCGAAGCTTTCCATATCACCACCAAAGTCAGGGTAAATGTGAAAGAAGCCATCGTACTATTAGAAAGAAGATTTTTTTATGATTTACTACAGATGAAAGGGACAAATTGGGTGGAGGAACTTCCTGAATACTTCCACATTATGAATAATGCTGCACGGCGAGCATTAGGCTACAGGACATCGTTTATGGTTTATTTTGGACGCCAAAATAACCGAATGAAGTACAAGCTAATTGGGAGAAATCCGAAGAATATTAGAACTGAAACATGTGAAAAAAATAAAGGACGTGCTCGGAAGAAAGATCTGCACAAACTCACTGAGAAACGTATATGCATGTTTGCAAAAGAATCTCAGTCAGATGAGAAATACAATGCTCAGATGGTATGCAGTGGGATAAGACGTCGACCACCCTCAGTATACGAGATAGACGAAGAGGTTTTGGTGCGAGTGCGCCACCCCCCAAAAAGGCCAAGGCAAAACTACATATCAAGAAATCTACATATCGCCAGATACAAGATTATGTTTAATGACAAAAACTTGATTAAAATTACATTTTGTAATTGGTTTTCTGTAAAGGACATCACCAGTTTGACTTGAGCGGCTGAACGTAAACGCCAAAAAATGGTTCCTAGTCTTGTGGAAAAGAATTTACTATATTCCGCAGAGTTGAGGAGATTGGATTAACAGGTGTGGATTTATCGTGCATCTGGATCCGGAGCCTAATGGCGATTGTCAGTTTTTTGCTATTGCACACCAACTCAACGGAACATCACTTGCTAATTGTTTGGGTATGAACAATTTGGACGCATACCTACAGTCAATGTCTCAAACTGGAACACATGGTGATCATATCACTGTATCACGAGTTTCCAGATGTTTAATGTGCAATTCATAATATTTTCGTCAATTGGATCTGGAGGAACAAGACTTATTTCACCGTATGGAACATATGATGATAATATTCCAACTTTATGGCTGGCACATGATTCAGAGAATCAAGGTGAACACTAATACAGCATTCAAGGAGATGTTATAAGTCAAAGTCGTGCAATATCAGTTTTTAATACATCAAATCAAATACCAATCAGACCTAAGAACTTTAACAACAATGAGCAATTGACGCGTGGACGGGTTTCATGTAATTTGGAGCAATATATACGTTATGGCCGTTCTTGGATATCAATGCGATATTGAATATATTAAATGTATTCACTGATTTGTTTCATACTAACAACGGATATATATACATATATATCTGCAATATCACAATTACGCTTTTTTTGATGATTTTCGATGATCACCTGAAGCACACTTTTAAAAATCGCTTGGGACTACAAAGCGACTAATATTTCTGGCAGCATTTCACTCATATACGTCTCATGACTGTCAATTTATTATCCAATGTATCCGATATTATGTTAATATCAATGATAACAGCATTGTTGATCAGTTTGGTTCCCCACACATAGTGTTGGCATGTTGTTAATATTGATGTTTCTATTTGCAAATATGTTATTACATTATCAGTAATCATCTTGTTACGTTATCAGTTGGAAAATAATCTATTACATTATCAGTGATTGTTGTGTTACATTATCGGTTGGAAACAAAAATTATTACATTATCAGTTATTTTTTGTTACATTATCGGTTGCCTTTTTTGTTACACTATTGGTTGCGCGTTGTTACATTATTGTTTTTTATTACAATATCGGTTAATTCGTGTTACATTATCGGTTAATGATACATTATCGGTAATTGTTACATTATCGAGTCCAACAAGCATGGCAAATCTGGCATTTTTTAGGAGTTTGAGCTGGCCAACATGTATTCTTCTGATCAGAATTGTATTACATACATACAACTAAAACAATATGTATTTTGATCTTTGTAAACTGTTTTATTTGGGGAGAATTCGCCCAAACGCTAATATTGTCGTTTGTAGTGTTCTAATTTGTAGTATGGACTCTGAATTCATATCTCCGACAACTATACGATGCGAAAGCGAGGCTCGAAACGCAAATCAGCCAGCAACGGCCGCCGCAATGTAAGACCTCCTCTGAATTCTCTTGCATGAGGCAACAATGGACCCGTTATAGTCCGCTACTTGGGCTCGGGTCACCCACGGCACGTGCCGAGTCTTGTTTGTCTGAAGTACATGTATATTCCAACTACGCAATGAGGTAACAAACGTAATTAGTGGTAGCCGGAATAGTTTTTCATCGCGGTCTTTTGCGATACACATTTCAGTTTTCACTACAATATGTTACTCCACACATCGTTTCACTGCGTTTGTTTCTTTGATGGCTAATTACCTGAGAACATACTATACTTTGCGATTTGCTGTTATTTTTTCTTGGAATTCCTCTATACAGATTAGTGACGCCAAAAACAAAACAAAACAAAACAAAACAACAAATTTATTATAGTCTCTATTTTTTCTACAAATCTCGTATTTGTTCGACAATATAATGCAATATTGTTCGTAGATAAAATTAAATGCATTGTGGTTGCCATGTATTGGATATCCCATTAGCGCTGAAGCTTCTGGGAAATTCCTTTGAGAGCCTGAATCACCAAAACCATTGACTATCAATTGAGCATTACGTGAAATAGAATAGATTCCGCGGCTGCATATTATTTGTCTTTCAAAGATTTTAATATTTCGAAATACTGTAGCAAATGCTGCAATTCAATGAAAATGACGGTTTTTGACATTAAAAATTAAAATAATTTTTAAAGGTCTTCGACCTCCACTCGAGGTATTAGCCGACACAAACTGAAAGCTCATATGAACCTACCTTGTTATATACTATGTACAGAACTTGTCTTGTGGCTCTGTCTCGCCATTAACGAGATCTCGCCCTTAACGAGATCTCGGTGACCATTTGCGTCTTGAGCAGTTATTGTATAAGGTCGATTGTACGACTAATTATGTCAACACTGTCATCAGCGCTACTATTATTGTGTTTTAAAACTGGGGAAGGCGTTGAGCTCTAAAAGTGCGAGCATATTCATACCTTGGTAGTGTATGAACTCGCTTCACATCAAAAACAAAAGAGATGTTCTAAATTTAAAAGCGGGATTTAGATTATTGCTTTCATGTTATTTTAAAATACACGCTACATACTAAACGGTACATACACAAAGTTTAGAATGTAATTTGTATAAAATCACAGAACTTAATATTGCGTGTCTATGCTGATGTCTTTAAAATGTACAACCCCCGAGGAAAGTGATTAGGGCTAAAACGGAAAACAGTTATAATATTATTACCATTTTTGTTTTACATAACAGTGAACAGTATCTCAGACAACTAATAAGCCAGCCTAGTTATCAACTCAAACAACCAATTAGTTATTAGTTGTTTGAGTTGATATCTATGCTGGCTTTAAGACACGACATTAACAATGACACCCCGCTGTAGGTGCCTCTGCCATTGTCTTCCTTAAGCGCCTTTCGTCGATAAAACTTGTTTAAAAGAGGTTCGAGCCGAATTGAAAATTATATCATACGTATATACGTCTTATTACATGCCTTTATCCGCCCGCCAATCAAACACACACTTTAGAATAGGAACATCCGGGTTTTTTTTGCGGTCCAGTGAGCCATGTACGGACCGTCGTCAATAGCAACAGAGACGTCAGGCAAAAGATCACCTACGCTCGGGCACTAACGCCCATATATACAGTTTGTTCTGTACTTGATCTTAAGTCTATTCTGATAGGAATGTAAATTGGTCAAAGTGATATTGAATCATTGTCCGATCTTCGATTGATAAAAGCAGAGGCAAAGAAAGTTTTTCCTTTACGAGACACATTTAGTTTATGTGTGATATTCTGCGTTATGAGATATTTGGGACGAGAAACAATTATGTATATATATATATTTTTAATTTTATGTAATATCGAACCAGGACCTGGTATAACCACATTTACCTATCGCAGTCACAGACAAGGTGTGAGCTTATCTCGATATGCAGCACAATGGCAATTAATCGTAAATTTCAGCGTGGGTGAAATGCTCGATTGCCCAATCAACAAGTTAATGTGTTACATTCCCCAATCTCTGCCCACCTGAAGTTGCAATCTGTTTGGGGGTAATATACATATCACAAGAGCGACTCTCTGCCGTACCCAGCGATATATAGTCGCTAAGGAGCTACCCATTTCTCTCAGTGTGGGCGAAAAGTTTCAAACGCCACACATTTTTCTGAGACGTAGACTTGAATTTTACCAGTCAAGCATCGAGTAATGCAGACTACTAGGTAACGATCACCATGCATCAAAGGTGGAAGTTTGCCTTAGCCGCCGTGGTAGCGCTGTTTATATGCACAGACGACACTGTAACAGGTATGTTAAACAACTTGATCAGAAAACATATACACGTCATGGGATCGTCTACCCTAACTCAAGATATTTTTTCCACAAAAAAATAAACAGAAAGCTTCTAGAAAATAAGTACGTTCGATAAATAACTTCAAACGTCGTTGTATTTTAGATACTTCACTTTGATAGTAAGGATATAAACCTGTGCATAATAATGTGTTCCACGAGGGTTCGTCAAAAAGTTGTCCACAGGTGACGCTTTTAGGAATAGCGCAACGAGTCCTCTACTGGCGAGTACGCACCACCAATATACATGGAAATACAAACATTGTATTTTTTTTATTGAATTTATCTATTTTTTACTCTGATCAATATTCATACAGTATATAGTTGTATTCAACGCGATCTCGTGTCTATTTCTCTGTATCATTTTATCTCTCGCGTGAAAATCTGCCGAATCCGTTCTCTTGCCAAATACCAATCACTGTCTCGGATGAAACGTATTTCATGATTGATTGATTCCTCTTGGTGTTTTAGCACAATTAAGCACTGCGCCTAAATTGGGCCACCGTGACCATGTTTACTTATGTATTCTGTTATATGATACATGCTGGGGATTTATCGTCCAGGTACAAACAAGGTCGACCACCTTGTGACATGCGTCCCTTATGATATTTGCCTCATGGCAGCTTATTACCAAATTGTCGTTTCACCCAATATCAATACTATTTATTACTATTTATTCCAGCCGTACATGGTTTTTAGGTCATGTTGTCGTGTATGCTACCATGGCAACACTCACCTATGTCAACAACGGTGCAGTAAGCGCACAGCATGTTAGATCGTGTTATATTATTATACGGGCACGTTTACAGTACCTAAGCAACTTACAAGGACAGAGCGAGTGACTAGTGTGTGGGTAACTACTGTCGTAGAAACAGATGAATAGATAAAATCAGATAAATTGTAAACAGTATCATCAAGAGTTGAAATTTACAAAAATGAAGTCGATTCTATCACACATCGACTGACAATGATGAATAACACTGAGTACTTCTACTAAAAAGTTGGCAGTCTGTCATTTTAAAACTCGTGGTCTTCGCTAAAAATCCTCTCACATATCTAGCGTTTGGTTATCTGGTATTATATCAAATAATCCATTTTGAAACACAAGCATGCTATTCCTAGCAACAAATTTTGTTTTCAAAATAAATTACAGAATTATCACTTTTATATACAGATCACAAAAGTGTTGAAAAGTGTTTTCTGGCGTTAGTATTTACCAACAACCCAATTTGAATATTGATTTTATTTGAATATTGATAAACGTCGGAGCGGCTTGGTGAAACACATATTTATCGAGGCTATCTAGAATCACAGCCATCTCAAAAAACAAAAATGATCTATGATTTTGAAAGAACATCTGTATCGTTTTTTTGTCAATTTCAAAAATATTATACATACAAACAATACAAGGCAACATTCAGCAGTGTAGTGCAATTATCATACATATATGACATATCACCATGCATTTGTTTACTTCTTTGTGAACACAAATGTAATTTGTGATCAGTTTTACATAAATCCCCGCCCCCCAAAAAAAAACATTAAAAAAATGAAAAACGCAGCTGATGTTCTACTAGTATTTAATGGGCCTCACATGCAGCTCATGCAGGCGAAGCGACGTCAATGCATAACCGGTCAAACGGATAATGTACTGTGAACACACTTTAGCCTGAGATATGGTTTACGTTTAAAGTGAGACGTCAGCTTGGACTTCGATCTTAGTGATAAAGAGTGAACTGTTTGACTGTCATGGTTATAATATCAATGTGTAAGGTGAGGTTCCATGCGATTTAAACAACTCGTGTAAAATACACTGGCATTCGAATACGCAGTGCGTGGCGACTATGTTACGCAAATGTACATTTCTACACGCTCGCTGCCCACACACGACCATAAATGGCCAAACGTCAATCTTAAAATATAGTATAGTCCTGTTTGTACGACTGTGTGAACGGCGCCGATGCCCACCACGTGACTGCGACGCTTGTAGACGCTTATATGAATTATGCGATCAAAGGCGTCCTGTCACACTGATAATTTAGGGTGCATATTTGTGAAATCAAACTGATATGACACCTACACACATTCGACTCACCGGGCATCATAGACATGGGTTATAACTGACGCAGTTTTAAAACACTTATTATCAATATAAATCATTCTATGACGTCATTCGCACTGAAATTCTGTACACATTTAAGCAACATTTAGTGTTTTCTGACAAGATCAATCGCCTTTCACACGCATCAGATTGAGTCTCATACTCGCATCTATCGTATACTATCTTGTATTTCAGATAAGATTTCTAAAGTACATAATAACGAATGTTTTATTTCTTTTAACAACACTTCACAAACCAAATCACACACCCTCCACTCCACGTCATCGTTGTCCCATACTGATGGGAAAACGTACCCCCCCCCCGAGTCCCTGTGAACGTTGTCAATTATATTGGTGGCCTGGTTTGTTCACAGCCCATTTGATACACCGAAGTAAAACATTCCACAATGAACAGTGGCGGAGGCACGGGAGGGGGTGTCCCCGCAAAAAATGTGGGGGCGTCGCCTCCCAAATCAAGCTGAAACCCTTTGTGCCAGAAAAATTTCCCTCAAAATGCAGGAAATAGGGTTTAAGAGGGTTTAGATTTCAAACATTTTCCGGCGGAACATGCCCCAGGACCCCCGAACTGTTAGCAGACCTCACCCAATGCACAATTTCGTGTTGCCGCCTCTGTGAAACACTAATTACGCATGTTATGAATTCATATGTGGCAATAAAAACAATTCAAACATCAATGAATATATACATGTAGAGTCTTAGTGTTACATTATAGAAACGAATTACGGTTTTTATTTAGAAATACAATTTTACGAATACACGTATGGTGAGCATGGTAAGCTCTGTGATTTCTTCCAACGACGGTCATTGTCTCCCTGTAACACTTGTCCGAGCATCCTTTGACCAGCTCATCTCGGACCTGCGCCCTTCACCTCCTTTGTCTCGTTGTTCGCATTCCAGGGTCATCGCGGTCGAGTGTGAGCTATGTGTAGCACACAACAGGTGTCTGTGTAAAGATTATTTATGGTTTAACCCGGCCAAGACCACCGCGCCCGTACAAAGGTGCCTTACTTCGCCACTGAATCCCATTGTCACCAATGCTGCAATTTCAGTTGTAGATGAAATGTGGTTACCACTACCACACCCTTTGATGGACAAGATTAGCTACAAGCATTTTTTTGACATCGACGTAGGCGTGTTGACATGTTCGCATTACACATATCGAACCTACTTCAAATTTAATCGTTCTGTAGTAGGGGGTTGCCCGCACCGCGTGTGTACTTAAATACATTTAAACAGAGTCAAGTATGAGATACTAGTACCATAAGTGAATTCTTTCAAACAAGGCAATACTTATACGTAAATGTAGTCCCACAGTATTATATTGAGTCGATGCAACAGCTGAAGATTCTACACACATTAAGAACCATTGTCTCTGCTCGACTACGTCCCCAAATCTGCCCCCACCCCTGGAACTGTGGTACATTGTCCTGTGCCTTGTGTTGTTTCCCGGGGATGAGAGTAAAAATCCTCCTAAAAGAATCTTAGCTGGCGTCGATGTTGGGCCATCATACTGATGTAAATGTCTTATAGGGTTACTGACAATGCCATTTGTGTATGGAAGCAAAATACATAACTCCCTTCCACTCCATTAACCTTTATCCCGTATTTCAAAAACTGGATATCGAAGTTAGGGATAGGTTATTGGCGTGGAAAAAACTATCAAGCAGCTAGCTATTGTTTAGTAGTTAGTATCCATATCCATAATACAACACAGAATTAATTGCTTGAATATTTTTTTCTGTTCCAAACAATACATATACATATACACATACACACACACACATATACATATATATATATATACATACATATACACACACACACACACATATATATATATATATATATATATATATATATATATATATATATATATATATATATATATATATATATATCACATATATATACATGTATATACATATA